ATTATTATCCATCCATCCATTATCTTAATCCGCTTCTTCCTTTCAGGGTCACTGGTGCTCATATCCAGCAGTCACAGTGCGAGGGGCGGGGTAAATCCTGGACAGGTTGCAAGTCCATCACAGGGACACATAGAGACAAACGAGACAAACAACCATTCACTCTCACTCACACCTAGAGACAACTTAACCTAACCTAACTTAACCAATTAACCTAACAGTCATGTTTTTGGTGTGTGGGAGGAAGCCGGAGTACCTGGAGAAAACCCACACATGCACAGAGTGAACATGCAGACTCAGAAAGGTCCCTGGGCCGGGATTTGATCTGGCGACCTTCTTACAACTAGAGATCACATAATTTTAAGTTTCTGCTTAAATAATTAATAATGTTAAACTGATGGCTGTGTAAAAGATTGTCATGTAAGAATTAAAATATTTTTTCTTCAAACTGAAGTGATTCAAAGAGCTATCTGCAACAAATTCAGTGTTATTTGTTTCTAAACTTGCCACAGAACATGACTTTCAAATAAAAGATCCAATCTGTCCTTTTTAAAGGTGAGCATGTCATTTTGTAAACAAAGCAAAGACAATGACTAATTTGCCTGGTTATTCCCAGAATTACAAGTTAATCTCCAACACACACAACGTGCCTGAACAGAAGTCCACATCCTATTACACCTGCAGTTGTAGTAAAATTTAAGCACAACAGTTCAGATATGAAATGGAGCAAAAATCATTGTGACCATTTTTTTTCTATCAAATTGTCTTTATTTAGCCTCAGTTGATGGATAGTAATGCAGCAGCCCAACAAAAGTGCCTGTAAGCAGATTCTCTCCATGAAAGGTGAGCTTCTATTCTGAGAGGAGAGCTGCTCTGGCCAGGTGCAGGAAAATGTGGCAGAAACGCTGAGGAAGCTGAAATCCCTCCACTTCAGTTCACATGAGTTCAGAACGCAGCCTGTGTTCAGTTTTAGTTCTGAAAAAAACAAACGGATCAGCTGGGTTTTTTTTTCCAGATTATTAATCTGATGAGATTCATGTTTGTGRCAGTAAAGGAAGGAGCGAAAAGGAAACAATTTACTTGTTTTAGGTATAAAAATATGTTTATTTTAGTTTTATAATGAAATACGTTGATATGGAGTGTGGTATTGCACTAAAAATAGATGACAAACAAAAACACTTTATAAAGGAAAATCCTTGAAGGAACGTAAAGTTTTAAACATATTGGCTTCAAGAAAAGTCTTTTATCATCCACATGTAAATAGCAATAGTTGTTTTAACTGGGTTTTCATTTGTTTTAATGAAATATCTTCAGAATGAACAGAAGGATTTTGATGAAACCTTTTGGCCAATCAGCAACAGTAGTGACCAATTTAACAGCATTCATTTTGTGCCTATCATGTTCCTGCAGTCCGAGGGACACGACAGAGTACAAGATGGTGTTGGCTCATCCTGCTGCCATGTGTGAGATCGAAACCATCAGACTGAAAAACACCGGCGCGCGCCTCTACAGGCAGGGAGAAGTCCACGTCAAGTCTGTGTGCATCTCTGAGCTCCCCTTTGTCAGGTCTGTGTGCCTAGCATGAACTACAAACTGTGTTCCTCAAACTCCGACACATTTCAGCAAGAGTTCTTCATGGGTCAAGGAAATGGCAAAACAATTTCTGGGAAAGTGACCATTCAGGAAGTCCTGATGCATCTCAGTAATCCAGGTCGAAAAATCAAAAAGAAAAAATCAGTAGGACCTCTGGATGGGTTCTTCTTTAGTGAAATGTTT